TCGAAGGTCACAGAGATACTAAACTTTCAAACTCTGTTATGATTTGAATGAGTGCCCCATCACCAACGCTTCTGTTTTAAAAGATATGGTCACTGGCCTCTGGTGCTGCTGAGGAGCGGTGGAGTCTTTAGAAGTTTGGGTCTAGTGGGAGGACATTAGAATATTAGGGGTGTGCCCTTACTGGGGACATTGGGACTCCAGCATCTTTCTTTTTTTTTGGTACCATGGATCAAACTTGGGACCTTAAGCTTGCAAGGCAGGTGCCAAAACAACTGAGCTAAATCCCCAGCCCCACCATTTTGGTCTCCTTTGCTTTCCAACTGCTATGAGGTATGCTGCTTCCTCCACCAGTTGTTCCTGTCACCTCAGGACCAAAGCAATGGGGCTGACAGCTCATAGACTGAAACCTACAAAACAGCCAAAATAGATCTTCCCTCCTTATAACTTGAGTATCTCAAGTATTTTGTCACAGTAATGGAAAACTGACTAATACAGACCCCAAAGTCATTATTTGCTACTGTAAACTAGAAAAAGCAGTAGATAGAAAAGGTGACTGGCTGTTGTTAACTATGAAATTTGTATTACTTGTCACTGATTACAGACCACTTTAATGTAGTTTATTCAGTAGATCATTACAGTTAGTATACCTCAGATTATTTGGACAGTATACATTTTTACCAAATAGTGAAAAATTAAGTAGTCATCCAAATCTCACACTATGATAATTCGTATGTCTTTTTTTTCATGCTTTCACGATGGTTTTCCCCAAATTATCACCTTTCAGCATTCCCATAAATGCAGCTGGCATGTTTTCAAATCCTTTGGTAATGTGTTCGTGATACTGGATTTTTCCCTGAATCAAAACAACAACAAACATTGATTTCATATTCCAAATAATTGTCTCTTCTCATCCTAGCACAAATTTATCATTTATTGTTTTTAACAGTTCATAAGATGGAGGCATGTTTTTTGTGAACTGAGTTAATTTGAGGGGCAAGATCTCCATACATAGTGTATTAACAGATTACGAAGTACACATAAGTATACAGCAGGTAGGTGTCAGATCACAGTATGAAAGAAGAAATGTCACAGGCTATGATTTAGAAATTGCTAAACAAATTGTATAGAATCATTTGGGGGTTTTTTGGTACCAGGGATTGAGCTCAGGACTTCATGCTTCACTTGCCAGGCAGGCACTGTGCCACTGAGTTATGTCCCCAGCCCAGACAAGTTTAATAACAAGTTTAATGCAATGATTTCCGAAAAGGTGGAAGTAGATACAGAACAGAACATCATTGCCAGATACTGTCTATGTTATGGTTTATATCTGGATGTCCCCGCTAAAGTCTGACA